CACTATTAGCTTTACTCCACATTAGTGATTTGTTCAGTCTATTTATGCATCTGATATTCCTTAGAGAAATTAAAGAATTTCCGCTTGAGACGGAAATCACAGCTTTTTCTGTCATCAACAATCGTTTTCCGCTGCTAAGCCACACACCTTGTGCAACAAATGTCCACTTTATGGCACTGCCTAAAGCTCCCAATATGCTGTAATGTTTTAGAAATCTTAATTTGTACAATAATCTCTGCAGGATATACGGCGACGTAAATATTCAGCGGTATTCAGATATGTAGCCACTGTTGTTGACGAATCAAAAAGAATACTGGGATGTGCAACCGGGAAAAAATTGCTCGTTTGCCGTTTATACTATACGTCAGCGGCAATGACTGTCGGTTTAATTACCCAAGTTTGAGGTAATTTCTCGTTCTTGCTCAGACATAAACATCAGTGAGTCTGTGGCTTGGAAATAAATTTTGGAAAAGCTCTGCCATAGTGTAGAGCAATAAGCAGTAAAGTAGTTAAGGAAACATGGAAGTTTTTGTCACAAAAGAACTGCTGGAGAATTTATCGGTGTTGCGGTTGTCTATCAGAAGAAGATTTGATTTTGCAATTTTTTCCACTCTTTAAGATTTTTGCGAGTGCTGTGCATGACGGATCTGAAGTCCAAAAGTATAAAAAAATGCTTTCAAGAACTACGAGCCGTCTCTGATCCAAGTATTAGCCAGGCCTAGCGTTGCTGAACTGGGGAGATTGGACGGAATGTGTTGTTTTCAACGTAATATATCCGTAAGGCATTCCAAGGAGTCGGCTGAAAGCCCAAGAGACCAGAATACTAACAACAGTGCATTTTGCAGCATCCACTTGCTTAGTGCGGAAGATTTACTGACCACAGTGTCCCCAAAATCTCGGTGAAACACTGTCAGCCGTACCCTAGATTAGTCATTCTTTTTTTTGTGCATATACGAAAAACTCCGAAAAATTGAAAAATGTTAGTTGACCACCAGCAATTTCTTGTCACATATAAAATTCTCCTCCAGTGGTGAACGATGCGCTTGTTGCAACAGATCTTCCCTTCTATGGCAATGTTCGATGAATGCAATGTGCTGGTGTTCTTGAAATCTGAGTTTCCACTATAATTTCTGTATTATATGGGGCGGCGCGAATTATTCAGTGGTATTGAGACGTGTAGGCAGTGTTGTGAACGAATCAAAGTAAGTCGTGCGATGTGAAATCCCTTAAGAATTGCTTTTTGGTCGCGTATATTAGACGTCACGGCAACATTTGTTGGTTTGATTACTCAAGTTTGAGGTAATTTCTGTAATTAGGAACGTGCGAGGATAGTGGTGTTATGGAGACTGGAGAATCATGGGTTGTTGATTCGTGTATTCAGTCGTAAAATACTGGTTGTAGCCTGGGAAGCGAAAGCCTGAAAACGGGAAAATATGATTCAAAGTAGGTTTGTTGTGCGGTGAAGCTTCTTATGCAGAATTAAATTAAGTAAGTTTGAAAATGTTTAGGAGCAGGATTCGTCAGTTGCAGAAAACTTTTATTCTTTATGGTGAGGGACTCCGAACAACGAACCTTGACAATATCGAACGTCTTTTTTATGCTTAGCTTTAATGTGTAGTATTGTATATGTTTTTGTTTAGTGTGATTTATCTGATTTATTTACCTTTTCTGATAAAGCTTACCGTGAGTGAGAAAAAGGTTAAAGATATTTAGTGAAATTTCTGCATGATGACTAATCAATTATATAACTAAATCGACTGTTTTACTTCTTTCGCTCAGCATTTGTCTACTCAGGAAATCGGAGACCTCAACCAATGTTTATACTTGGCAGATGTGGGTAGGATTAAGGTATATTTTGTTTTTACAAAGATGGCTAGACTTCAACAAGTTTGAAGATTCAGACATTATACTACTCAGTATCTCCCCGCTTTCATTTGTAATAATTATACTAATCATTATGGATTTTGTATACGTTCTATTTTATTGAGTGTTATGTGTGTGCGCGTTAAAGGAATGTCTGCTATGGTAAATAAATGAATAAATAAATAATTTAATAAATTAATAAGTAGATAAATAAATTAACAAACGAAAACAGGTATTTCTGATAGTCATGAAATGCTAGATGCGTTTACGCCCCATCGGCTTTTACAGTAACCATTATGCGTGCTGAATTTGTAAGGTTCAATTTTACTTTTTTCATTTTACATAACCAAGCAGGAATATGCTGTGGGAGAAAATTGCTGGGTTTATTGTCACGATTTTTGAGAGCGGGAGTGTTTAGCAGGAGAGACGAGTCGCTATTCGAAAGCTATTTAAAAGACACGACGCAGCTAATGAGATCCGACCTTTGACTTAAAAATCTTTCATTTTTACAGTTTTCAAGCAGTGGAACACCGGGGCTGTTTGGGAGCGATTGAGGATCGTGGGTTCGAGTCCCACAGTGAGCGCGAGAGTCTTCTTCCCATTTTATTCATATTTTCATTACCAGAGCGTTAATAGAACCCAATGGTTGCAGTGAATAACATTGACCTCGAGTTTTTAACCACCGGGTGCAAAGATCAAGGTGCAAAATCTAATTCGGCGCATTTTGCCATATGTGGAGGTCAAGTGGAAGTTTAAGAACTAAAATCCAGTTGCGCAAGTGGTTGAGAGATTGCAGTGCCAATGCATCCGTTTTTCCCCGCGTGAGTTCAAATTTCATTTTCTTCGAGGACGTAGTTTTACCGAATTGCTGTGTTAGGTCGTGTTCAGCTGCTTTTGCCGTCGAAAGGGTTGATTTTCAATCAATGTTGCCTGACGAACTAATGGATCCTTGCATTCTGTTTATTGTCGACAATATGGAGCAGAAAGTAGAAACTGCCAGAAATTGTAGTGCAGTCGGTGACAAAAGTGAATTTCAGACGCACTTCTCAGACGAAAATGGTGACTGGAACGAGTGTCTGAGACCAGTAGGCCATCTACCGTGTAGCAATATCCAATTAAGGCGCTGGAAGAAGTATGAGGAATGAAGAGGAGTGGGGATTAGTAAAGAATGCAACGTAAAAAATTATTGATGCAGGTGGCAAACTGTTTGGAAGAAGGACCAAAGTTAAACAGAGCGTTTCTTTATGGAGTTGTCTGACGAGATTGGGTAGCAAATCCACTATTTTGAAAACAGTTCAGAAAATATCTGTTTTACTGCTTTTTATGGAAAGGCTGTTGCTCATAAAAATTTTTTTTGCAATTTTGAGTCTCGACTTTTTCTTTATTTGCGACGTAGAACTGAAATTATACCGATGACAGCGGAGTAAATGCGTATCTGAATCTTTGACACCGCCCTGTTTTGTATCAAAGTGGGCAATTTATTAGAGTCTAAAAAATTAGTTTGTTGCCCTACTTTGTACTGTTAAACTTCCCTAATTTGAACAATATTAATGACATTTTTCTTAACCTGTGTTGATCTTTCACTAGCAGCATTAAACTGTAAAGAATCGTTTAAAGGGAAAAGAAGAGTCCTTGTAATTTTGAATGCGTGAAGTAAATTTCACTACTTTGGGAAAGCTTTTTCATTCTTCTCTTTTTGCATATACTAAAGTGAATTCTAACATGCATTTGCAGTCTTGACATCAAGTTTTTATCTCTAGAGAGAAGAAAATATCAAAGCTGCAAGTGATCATTTCAACGGGTTTCTTCGGTCAGTTTTTGCATCTGATCAATTTTTCTTTGATATCAAGAAGATGTAACTTTGATTCTTTATTTGGCATTTTTAAGGCTGTTTTTTTTTACAGTTCAAAAAAGTCATTTGTCTAACAATTAATTTTACTTGTAGTTTTTTAACAAGGTAAGTTAATGACTACCAACGTCAATGGAAGTTATTTGCCTGAGTTTTGACGTACGTGGTTTTGTTGCCATCAGCCTGGTTTTGTGTCTGAAGTAGTCTACAGAATATGGAAGAGTTTTTTGTCATCTTTATGGTTGTTTCATAAAATACGGAGAAAACTGTAAAGTATTTGCGGTACAGTTGATCTAGCATATTTCTTTCTGGTCTCTGAGTAACCCTAGTGAGGCTAAAATCTGCTGCAAAGTCCGACCGAGAATGCCAAGCCTGCAGGATAGAAGAAGTTTGTGAAAGTCAAAGCAACAAAAACTAAGAGTTGCCTGTACTTTTGAAAAAGTAACAGTTTACCCCAAAAAAGTAAAGCCAAATGGAGATTTGTCCTGCATTTTCCTCTCAATCTGCATTTCTCGGAAGGGACAAAACATACTATTTTTACCAACAGAGAATTTCCATATTTTACATATTTCTGTTTTTTTCTTAAATCGAAGGGTTATTGTTAAATTTATCGATAGACGTGATCACAGTGCTAAGCTTCTTTCTATATAATAATTACAGGAGCCTTCCGTTTCCAAATTCCAGTAGATTACCACTATCAGTTCGTAGCTGTGCCTTTTTTAACCAGGGCTGTATACTGAACAATTAATTAACTTGTCAAATTTATTTGCCACTAATAGTTTCCAGATGTAAGTTGTTTCCTTTCCTTACAAAAATAAATTTTGCTAGGGATTTTATTTCCATTTTGCTTAAAAAAGCTAGAACAACCAAAAGTCTCTAGCTAGTTTCAGATAGTACCTAGTGCCAAGCCCTCATAGTTATTGCTCAAAAGTTTGACTCACTTTTTTTGAAGACTAGCAGGCGAAAGTTTAAAAACGCTTTTTCCCACCTATGATTCTTATTTTAAGAAGTACTTTAGGAAGCAAAAAAATTTATAAGAAATAACTCTTTCTTCTTTAGAACTTCCCCTTAGTGTAGAGAAGAAAAAAGAAAATGGAAATATCAATATTTCAGAGTGAAAATTGAGATACCTCAAAAAAAGTTTTTGTTTTGCGTAAAAACAGGCCGCAAGTAAAAATATAGCTTAAAAGTCATGTTTTTCTATCGGTATTGATGAAAAGCACAATGTATTTATATTTTCGTTTCAGAAACATGATGAAATCACAAATGCAAAATGAAATTTGTCGATACCTCAGCATTTTTAAGCCAAGTCACTATGGAAACTCAAGCATATGGACGACGAGACTGATTTAAAGCATGCCGTTGTTGAAAAGTTGGAAAAAAATGGAACTTTGAGCCGGATTCAAGTAAGTTTAGAACTTTATGAAATTCAACTTTTTTAACGGCCAGAAACTTTACTGTAAAACTGCTCTTAAATTTTATTATTTTTGGGCTGGGCCAGACCCAAGGATATTTTGGATTTGCTATAGCCGCTTTCCGTCGCTTATTTATCCATTATTTGCGAGTAAAAGATAACCCTTTTCAAGCAACTTTCTCTTTCGTTCATAATTTGTAGAAATTTCACTTTCATCCCACTAAGAAATTATTTTTCGTAGCTGTGTCAACGATAAATATCTGCTGACGAATGACTCTAAAAAACTGTAATTTGACGC